GTCTTCTTCTCGTTCTCGGTAATGACTGACAATAACTAACGCCCGAATGAGCCTGGCTGGAATTTGGTTTAACGTGCAAAATCCATAGCTCTCTTCAGTAGTTTTTGGGCTTGTCTGTAAGCAGCTTGATAGTTGAGCCAACCAGTAGTAAACTGGATTATATACTGGCTACTTGTGGGGGACATGATGGTCATGTAGTTTCTTGGGAGTTTGCTAGAAGAAACGTCCCCAGCGTCGTTGGAGGGTCTTTTCGTTGCCGAGTGTGTGTTGGAAGGTAGCAGCGTGCTAGTACGAGGTTGCTGGTGATTTCCGAAGAGTTCATTCCCCATGAAAATATCTGGGACATTGTGTGCTGTGGTACCATGAACTTTTCCCCCCAGATTTATTGTAAATTCTATGTAGTCTTATAGTTCGAATTGTATCTAACCGTATGTTTCCTTATGCGAAGATATTACTGCACACTGCCCCATTTGCGTTCGTTTGCTACCCTTTCGTTTCACATGTCATAATCAATGCTCTAAATCGCTTTGGAAGGATGCGCTGCCGATAATATACGACTAGATGAAAACAGCCCCGGAATCCTTCCAGGTTACCAAAGTGATCCTAGTGAACATCATCGCTATCAGTAAACAAATGTGTAATTCTGCTTTTGTTGAAGTGATTTTTTTATTACATTCCGTGCGACGTGGAACGGAGTAAGTAAGGTCGATTGGGTGAGTCCTCTTCATGGCTTTACCGTTCAGCTTATTTTGATTTGTGGGAGACTATCCCTTTCTCCGATCAACCGAAAACCGTAAGTTTTCAAACACAGAGGTGTACCTGATCGCATTGTAGTATATTGTTTGTCTACATGACTTGGTCGTCAATGTGAACCAATTAGTAGATCGATAGAAGGCACTGACCATCTGAATGTAACCCCTTAGGGGAATGCGCAATCTGATTGATGTTCAAATGAAAATAACCATCTGGAGAGATCGTCGGATAGGCAGTGCTCTCTTTTCCCCATGGGACTGGAGGAAAATGCACGACTGATCGTTAATCCCGACCAATTCACATGAACTTGAAGTTAGTGTAGATGGGCTTTAACTTTAGGGTGTATAGTCTCATAATACCATCAAAGTTCGTGGCGTTGGATTCTAGCCCATATAATCATTTGTTAAGCCCATAAATGCGCCCCGGTTATTATATCAATGAATCAGGTGATACTCATCCGGGAAAGGATCATCCGTATGAATAAAACAAGCTAACTACATCGTAAATGGCAGATAGATATAAACTGACAGTGATTGATTGTGTTTAGTTAACCATCTGTCGTGATACAGTGACCATGGCGACACAGTCGTTGGTACACTTAGCAATGATCCCTTATCAATCATCGGATATCGGGTTCGGTAATGGAGGCTCTGGCGTCTATGGGGTACAAAGTGGTCCTTCCCAACCCTACAGTATGAGGTTATTTCAGCGCGCGCGCATGTGTATGTTCATATGTACGTCAATGACCGGATTGTCTTGTGATAGATATATCCCGGTCACACTCAAAATGAATTCGCGTTTCTCCACACCTTGAGCTTTAGTTTATATTTTTTCAGGAAAAAACTTAATCCTGAAAGACTAAATAATTAGGGATTAGATAAAAAAGAAGCAGTGATGGTAACCAAGACCAAGCTTGATAACAGCATGAATAAACATATCGTTTTATATCCTGAACACATGCTTCCATGTAGTTGGTGAAGGGAATTTATATCATTCAAATCTTCGATTAGTTGAGATGCATACCGAGATAGCTGACAGACAGAAGCAAAGGGGGATGGGAGAGGTAGGTGCGGTTCCAGTTAAATGAACTACCATGAGACGACTTGAAACAGTGACAACTACAATCAGCTGTTCGGTACGTTTATTGGAACAATGCAATTTGGAATCCGTCAGGATATCTACTGCTGTGCACATTGCTCTTTAGTTTAGGATTTAATTGATCTTCTGGACGGCATTAGTTTTCTGACCCACATTGCATTTCAGTGGGTGAATATAAAGGGCAAGAACGAAACGCTAGCTGGCCATTCGGCTCTGAACAATAGGGAACGAGAGAGAAAGAGAATTCTTCCACCTCCGGTTTCCGTTCGCTGGTCACAGGATACAAACAGGGATATCTGCTGGTAGTCTTATCAAAGCAAGGGTCGACGTAGGGTCAGAGAGATTGAACTGAATGTGACTTAGTTGTACCTTGCTTACCAGGGCGGCCATGTTTCGTGAACAAAATGAATTGGCCTAGGAAACGCTGTGAAAAACTGATAAAAAGTGATGACGCAGATGGGATGAAATTGATAAGTCGGCACTGTATTCATTGCCTTCAGCTGTGTATCAGACAGTACGATGAAGCAGAAAGATAGATTCGTTATCACTGTCTTTCTTTTAATCACGAAACTCCACCGGTGGAGAGTTCTAACAAATTTGAATCGATGGTCCCCGAAGAGATGCTACCCCATATAGATTATTCTTGTACACTATATTTCACACCTGTCTGAGGTCAGACTATGTGCCAAGAAAACCATCGTGCAACAGTCTTTACAAGAAATTGTGAAAGTGAAAAACAGATGATTTTTTCTCTCGGTACTTCTCATCAGGCCATTATTATTATTATGAAACTGCACTTTGACGTGGTGTGATGGCTTGTGCACCTCTCTGACCCAACGAGCTACACAGGATGACTTTTTTCAAGCCGAAGATCTAATCATGCCTGGAAGGTCGAAGGGTAGGTCGGACGAAGTCCAGTCTCCTGGTCCTCCAGGTTAGGGGTTCGACTAGAATTTGTGTTTCAGTCGGTAAAAATAGTGGATGAGTAATCAATCCAAATAAATGGGCCTCTACTTCGCTTCATCCGCTGCTTTGCGGTTAGGTTCTTGTCAGAACTAAAGGTTTTGGTTTAGAACCCTAATCGTTCTCCTGCTTAGTGGCTGGATACCCTAGCAGTACCTGTCCGTCAAACCCCAGTGCGTATGCATTGCGAGTTTGGCAACGATCAGTGAAGTTCGGTTCCCTGTATTTCGTTGAACGATGATGACGATGTGGGTTGTGTCCAGATGAACCCGCCACGGATGAATGAATTTGACATGTCTGTTTTACGGTCACAATTACCTTAGGCCAATATAGCAGTAAGGTCTGTTCCTACGATCCAAGCATTAGTCTGTTCAGCCTGATCGCAGTCCCTTCGGCTGCGGACAAAGTTCTGTTTCTCATCCCTACCAGTCAATCATGAGCTACCCGGTAGATGACCTTGAATGCCCTTTCGCATCAGTTCT